AAAATTTTAAATAATGTCATTTCCCCCTCACATTTGCCCCCTCAAAGGAGAGTTCAGTCCACGGGACAGAAGACATGTCCTCTCCATTTCCTGGGAAGTCTTTCCGTTTGTGAGCTCCTCTCTCCACAGCCCCTGCTTCTTTTGACTCATGTCAAGCTTGAACTGACATGATGGGAGTTTTCAAAGGAATAAAAAGAGACCCTGAGGTTTATGGTGAACACATTTTGGAAAGCGAAGGGCTGAAACAGAATTGCTTTGCGAACTTTTTTTTGGAGACCGAAGAACCCCACGAACGCAAGCCCCATAAAACTGGCCTTTTCTCTCTTTCTTTTTTCGTTCCTTTCCTTGACTTTTCCTTCTCCTTTTCTTTTCTCCTCTCTTTCTCTCTCTCTCTCTTTCTCTCCCTCCCCCTTTTCTTCTAAATTTACCTGACGTTTCCTTTCCTCTCTGTACCAAAATGCAAAGAAACGTTCACATCTGGTATGGTAAAGGCAGGCTTTGCTGTAGGACTCTGAGTCAAACAGAGCAGCTAAGTTGATTGCAAACGCCTAAGAAATGTGTACGGGGGAAAGCTCTCCACATGTCAATCCTGTCTTACTTCATCTTCTTAGAGAGGTTTCCCTTTTCCCATTCAAATTGTCGCCTGAGCAACCTGAATCAACAGCCAGGATAACACAAATTAGAACCCAGCCTGTATACTCTGTCTCATGAACACTGCCCCCAAGGAGCACGCTGATGACTGAAGTGTCACCCCACCTTATATGCAGGGAAGAGAGAATAAAGCTAAGTAGTTCTGAAACAGCCACATCTGCCCAACATCTGCCCACTTCCCCAAAAGTTATTTTTATATAGCAACACAATGATATTTAGCTGGGGTTGACTGTCTTCCTCCTTAAAAGGTTGTCCTATAGGAACCTTATAGAGGTCAGTCTTCAGGTGGCTGTGTCTACAGTTCAAATTCCATAGTCACTTAAAAACACAGAAAGGATCCCAGAGTGTGGAGCCTCGCAGAATGTGGAAGAAATATTGAATTCAGACAGCAGGGGTCAAAAGCAACTGTTGTATAATTGGTAGGCCAATATGGAATAACATTTTGTATTCTTCCCACCCACTGATTCACTCAATAATAATAAAAGTCTACATCTATTGCTTATTATATAGGAGGTACTGTTCCAGGCACTTGATATATTGTAACTCAATTCTCACAACAACTCTATTAAGATACCCTTTTTACAGATGAGGAAACTGAAATACAGAGAGTTTAAGAAATTTGACGAGGTCACACAGCAAGTCTGGCTTCAGTCTGTGCTCTTAGTCCCTCTATATATTTTCTGTATTCAATAAGTATTTATTAAGGGCCTACTATGTGCCAAACGCTGTGAATTATATTGGACATATACAGATGAACATGACAGAGGTCCCGCACTTGAGGAGTTTACATTCTATTTTGGGAGACAGCAATATATAAACATACGAGCACCATTCATGTAATGAGTCTTATAAGAGAGATAAACAGAGGTGTTATGGAACCACACAGGAGGGTCACTAACCCTGACCGGAGTGATCAAGGACGTCTTCCTCAAAAAGGTGATACTCAAGTACCTTCTAATGCCAATGCTGAAACACAGCCATAATGAAAGTTTTCGACAGCCAGAATATTCCCTTCAGTTTAGACTATGAAGCTTACAGACAATGTCATGCTGTAACTCAAACGGTCCTATGCTGGGCACTTAGACTGGCAACGAGAGCCAGTGGATGAAAATAAGAAGATATAAAGTGGGTAGACTGGAGCTGGAGAGACTTCCTGATGACAGCTGTGTGTGTTCCCCCATAACAGACTGGTGAGCGGTGCCTCAAGGGCATGGGAAAACTCTGATGTGGTTCTGGCAGGTGTTCGTGTCCAGGGAAGCAACAGGCATTCAGGGAACGGGGGAGAATATACAGGTTCCAAACAATGAGATCGTTCACAACTGGACCCCAATCGACAGCTTGGGGCATGTGGAACCGAGCTCAGTGATTCGGAAAAGAGAGATACAAAGAGCTTAGTAGAGATTTAGGACTCCATTTAAATAGAATGGAGTTAAGGGAAGGGTACAGTCTCCATGAGATACTAGGATACTACATGGGAGAACTGAGAAGGGAGGCCCAGCCACACACACTGAGACAACACTGGAGGAACACAAGAAAGTTATGACTCAGTGGGCACACTGCGTTTGTTTGCACCAGACACTGCAGAGCCAAGCTCTTTGAGAGCAAGACTGGCATCATTTAATGATTGAGGATGCTGCCCTGGCCAGTGAAGTTTGGGCAGGGAGACCAAATAAAGAGTCAGACTCGTTTAAACAATTTTGGTAGATAGTTTCACAACGAGATTCGCGTATAAAATAAAGAGAGATAAACTTGACTTTGACTCTAACTCTGCCACTTACTAACTATGTATCTTTGAGTATGTACCTTGACCTCTAATCTTCAAAATCCTTATGAAAAATGTATTTACGCGCATGACAATTAAATATTTTGATGAATACGAAAGTGTCAAGTACAGTTCTCCATACAGAGTAGGTGCTCAATAAGTGATATTTTCCCTCCTTTACAGACCCCAATTGAAAATTATTCAGTCTCAATATTCTGAAATTTCTCACTACTGATGATATGTCTACTTTATTCATCTCAGTAAAAATACTTCAAAGCATTTTTATATATTAATAACTTCCCAGGCAGCACATTTCTATCTCTTTGCCTCATATTAAAATTTGGGGCAGAGAGAAGAAAAAATTCATTCAGAATCACAAAGAACTCTGGCTCTGTCATCAAACCACAGCCTTTAAGTTCAGCAAAGAGCTGGCTCTTCAAAGATTAACACATGCACTCCCTCTCCTTGTCCAAATTGTCATCCAGTTTTGTTTTTTTTTAATTCTCTCCCTTCCTGTCCCTCAGATGAGTATGATTTAATCTCCAAAGCATGCATGGTGAACACATTACTATTTCCTCCTCCGGGAATGTGATGTTACACAGTGGGGCCCCATTCCTGAGCTGGATAGAGAGGAAGAGGTCATATGCCCAGTCTCCATACAAGCATTTCATTTCATTCGCACAGAGAACATCTCTGTTCCGTAGCCACAGAGAACACTGCTTATCTTAGTAACCTTCTCACTAATGTAAAACATTGAACACAGATAAGTCTAGTACATGGTGGATAACTCAATGCAAATTTAATCAGCAATAACAACAACAACAAAAAATTACCACCACTTAGTGCTATCTAATGGTGAATCAAATAAACCGCCTTTGTTCCCAAAGATGGCAATGTTTTGGTTGATGTTACAATTTAGAGAAATGACATATTACTATAAAATCATGATTATATAATTGCTATAAAATGACTCATCAATCAATTATCAGGTATTTATTTCTACCTGTGCCTAGTGATATGCCAATGCTGTGGGGTTTATAAGTGAAGTAGAATTAAAACTAATGCATATGGTGTCAGGAACAGACTGTCTAGCTAGAGAGAGAATTCCCATTGTGAAAAGACAAGCAATGCTACGTAATCCCCAGCTGAGTACTGACTAGCATGGTGTAGCCAGAGGAGAGAGAGACCACCGTGGATTAGGGTAGCCTTGTAGTGTTCCAGGCCATCCTTCGCATGTCTGACAGAGCAGTATTTCTACAACACTTATCTGACCATGTCACTACCCCTGCCTAAAACCCTGGATTGACTCCTCAAGGCCCACAGGAGAATTTCTGCTATAGTTAGAGCTTCAAAAAGCAAATTCTAAAGGAAAAAAGAAAAACTATCTCAGATGGAGTTGAGATGCAAAAACAATTGATGAGCAAAGAATGGGATTCTCTTTTATACCAACTAGACTGGAAAAATTAGAAATCTGAAAATTCCAAAAATTGAAAAGGATGTAGAATAAGAAAAACTTTATGCACTGCTGAAGGGAGTATAAATTGGTACCTCTTTGAAAAATATGGCAATAATTTGCAAAACAGAACTTGCACATATGCAACTCAAAAATGCACATAATAGGTATTAATCTAGAAAAACTCTTACACATGGGACCCTCTTACACTGGGGTACAAGACATGTATAAGTATGTTCATACTGGCATTGCTCATAATGGCAAAAGAAACCAGTAAATAATTGAGATGCCCACCAACATAACTGTGAATAAATAAATCCTGGTATAATTAATGTAGTAATTAATGGATTACTATTATATGTATTAATGGGGCTGAATCTGAAAAATCCTAGAAACATATTAAGTGAAAAAATTGAGATTTGGACTCCAAACACAGGCGCTGTGAGGACCTGGTATAATGATTTCTGATGGCCGTGTCTTTTTCTCTTTACAGAAGAGAAAGACATGTGACTGGTCTTAGCAGTGAGCCCCTCTCTCCCACGGTTTTGTATCTCTTAAGCAGAGAAATGTGAGAATAAGAAAAGGGTGGGGAGCAGTGTAGGATTTATACCAGGGATAGTGCTTTAAGCAGTTCCTACTAACTTGGTTCCTATTCTATTTCTAAGCCTAGTTTTCCAAACTGCTCATCAGTTCTGTGAGCTTCCCGACATCCTCCAATAATTTCTCATCTTCCTTAAATTAGTCAGAGTCCATTCTGTTGCTTGCAACCATAGAATCCTAACTGATACACTTAGCCTGATACTGTCAAACGATGAATTTATGTAATTCCATTTGTTATGATCGATCCTTAGTTATCAACTTTCTAACTATGATTTGATTTCCCCTTTAAGTCTGGTAGGATTCTACAAGGAGAATGTTAACTTGTATATTTTAAGCCTCAGCTGTCAGTGCTACCTCTTTTGGCTGAATCATTGTGGAGTTATCAATGTCCAAGGGACACATCCCTGACTTATTGTTCTCCATCATGGTTGTGCCTATGGCCCCTGAATAAAAACTTCCCTAGCTGGCCTGTGGTGCTGGCTACACAAAGAAAATCCATCACTGCACCAACTGTGTCATTTAGAGTAGTCTTACCTCCTCTGTCTTTAAAACTTCCCATATTCGAGCATGATCTTCCACCAGCCAGTGTCCTGTGCTTTCCACCTTGGTGGAAAGTTTGAATTTAGACACCACTTGAGTAGGCTCTCCCACAGGTTTCCCCTCCATCTTGAAAGAGCCAGGCAGGATGCATTACGGATCTGTGTGAAAGAATAAGGTGTGAACCAGGTTAAAACATTACATAACATACAATACAACTCAACACCAAAAAAAACAAACAATCCAGTTAAACAATGGGCAGAAGACCTGAGCAGATACTTCTCCAAAGAGGAAATACTGATGGCCAATAGGCATATGAAAAGATGTTCAAGGTCACTAGTCATCAGAGAAATGCAAATTAAAACCACAATGAGATATCGCCTCACACCTGTCAGCATGGCTATCATCAATAAATCAAGAAACAATAAGTGTGAGGGAGGATGTGGAGAAAAGGGAACTCTCATACACTGCTGGTGGGGTTGCAAATTGGTACAGCCACTATGGAAAACAGTCAGGAGGTTTCTCGAAAAATTAAAAATGGATCTACCTTTTGAGCCAGCAATTGCACTTCTGAGTATTTATCCAAAGAAAATCAAAACAATAATTCATAAAGATCTATGCACCCCTATGCTCATGGCAGCACAATTTACTATAGCCAAGATATGGAAGCAACCTAAATGCCCATCCACAGACAATTGGATAAAGAAGTTATGGTTCATATATACAATGGAATATTACTCAGCCATTAAAAAAATGAAATCCCACCATTTGCAATGACATGGATGGACCTAGAGGTTATTACTCTGAGTGAAGTAAGTCAGAGAAAGGTAAATACCATATGATTTCACTTATATGCAGAATCTAAGGAATAAAAAGAACAAACTAATCAAAATCAGACTCGCAAATATAGAGGACAATCTGGTGATGGACAGAGGGGAGGGTTTGGGGGGCTAGGAGAAAGGGGCGAAGGGTTAAAGAAGTACAAATTAGTAGTTGAGAGATGGTCATGGGGATGGGGAGCATGGCATAGGGAATACAGTCAGCATTAATGCAATGGCTAGGCGGAGAGCCAGAGGAGAGAAAGAGCAATTAGGGGGATCATTTTATAAACTGTATAAGTGTCTAACCAATGTACTATATACTTGAAACTAATAAAATAATTTTTTTAATTATATAATATAAAAAGAGATATGAAAGCAAATTATCATGCTTGATTTGTGAGTAATGAGACCACTAAAGACAGTACCAAAATAGGCATTAACTTTTATGGCCACTTTTTATATTTTAAATATCCATTGTTGGTATTTTAACCCAGGCTTCTGGAGTTAGAAACTCACTTCGATAATGGACAAACGTTATAAATTTTAAAGCAAAATAAAAAACATCCTTTGCCTGTTATATCTGCTTGTCGCTTTGCTCTGGCCCCCTTAAGAGGAGAGATGGAAATGGGAGTGTGTAATACAAGCCTGAGTGATGTTATATTTCCACACCAGGCTGTGCATGTAGAAGGAGCACTGGCTGTGTCGTCAGGAGTTTTACTCTTCAAACATCTATTGAGAACTTGTTTACATGAGGCTCCAAGCCGGGCGTACGCAAATAATTCAGAAGTCTGGTTCTTAACCTTAAGAAGCTTAGTGTCTCAGGGCAGAAAGGGTTATAAACAAACAATGGCAGTATAGTGTGTTACAGTATAGTGTATGAAATGCTACAGTTCCTGACGTAATGGAAGCACAGAGGAAGATTCTCTTCGATATTTATTGTCACCTTCATCAGCAGTTGCTGTAAAGACAATTTCAAAAATTGATACCTATTCTATGAAGTCTCCCTCCCTGATATCTTTCTGTCTGCCACTGACTTCTTCAGAATCACACCACGCCTGCTTGCCACCGTACTGTCCGAAGGCATCTCCTTGCCTCCATTCAAGTCCCCCTGAATCTATCCTTCTCGGGGTAATTTTTCTTTTTCTTTTTTAATTTTTTATTTTTATTATTTTTTCTTTTTTTAATTAAGTTTATTAGGGTAACATTGGTTAATACAATTATATAATTTTCAGGTGTACATTATAATTTGACATCTATATATTCTATTGTGTAATTACCACCCAAAGTCCAGTTTCCTTCAGCTACCATATATTTGATCACCTTTGCCCACTTCTGCCTCTCCTTACCCCCCTATATTTGACCGCAACCACTAGTCCATTGTCCATGTACATGAGTCTCTGTTTGTTTGTCCTGTTCATTTGTTGCTTTTAGGCTTATATCCCACATATAAGTGATATCATGTGATTTTCAACCTTTTCTGTCTGGCTTATTTTGCTTAGCATGATTATCTCGAGGTCTATCCATGTTGTCGCAAATGGCAATATATCATTTCTTCTTATGGCTCAGGGTAATTTTTCTTAAAAAGCCAAACTGATAATGATGTTCTACCTATCTGAAACTTTTCCCAGAGAATAAAATCCAAGCTCCGTAAATGTGGCTTCCAAAACCCCTTGTGCCTGACTTTCTCGACCTCCCTTCTCCCAGCATGCCCTGATACCTTCTCAGCCACTCTGTTTCAGTCATCTGGAAGAACTTATGGGTCTCAAATATATCCAGTACCTTTTGCCTTTGTTCATGACACCTCCCTTCCACCCCAGCTCCAAAAGAATAAAACCTCTCCTTTGTTAATCTCTACATATACATTCTATCTGATGACATGACAGAAATCTGTATCTTTATTTACATATACACTTTATTATATGTATTTGCTTTCAACTTTATTTCCACCTTCTGGCCTTTTAAGCATCTTAACACTAGACATGGTGTCATATACACAAAATCAATACTAAATAAATGTTTGATGATTTGGTTAATTCGGTAAATCATGAGAATCCAGTGAAAAGGACGTAGCAGATCTAATATATTCAAATAACAGATGTAAAGGCCAAGTTACCTCTTTAACTTTTTTATTGACTTGGTGGGCTGTAAGTTCCTCATAAGAAAAGGCCAAGTTCAACATTCATCATGGACCTCCAAGCAGTTAATACTGCAAGCTGCAATTGCTCATTAGTTAACAACGGACTAATTTTCATGGAAATGTCTTCAAGAAATTGAGCACTTCTACAAAGAGCAGGTCTTCTGCTCACATAACCTACTGCTTAAATACAAGCAAACGGAAATCGGCATTGATAAGCCAGGCAGCAGTGGTAAGTCCGAGGACTCGAGGAAAGGATGTTCTGCTGCAGAGTGACTTCTTCGCCTCACATGTCACCTGTAAGCATGGAGAGCAAGCCATCTGCTTGAAGAGAGTCGTGATGAAAAAAATACTAACCTAAACCATTTCACAGTACTAAGAAACCTGGAGTACTTAGTACATTCCCACTAGGAACCCAGAAACAGAACCTTTATACTTAATGAACAAAGTTTTTCTGAGTGGACATGCTAATAAATGATGCTGACACATATATGCAAGAAAATAAACAAAGCAGAGTCATATGGAGGTTTCAGCCTCACCCCTCTCCCCGCAAAAAAGAAATTAAAATAAACAAGCAAAATGGAAAAAGGCCAGATTAGTAGGGAAGGAAATTCCATTGTTGTTATTTGAGATAACACTGTAAACAACAAATAATAAATCAAAACAAAGTGGAAAAACTACATAAAATGTTTTTGGCTGTATCCTCTGTATATCATAGAGACATAACAGGATATAATATACAGACTACAAAATCTCAGGGTGAACAATGGGACATCTTTAAGCCTAATGCACCCCAGCAACCCCATAGCTCTCACTCAAGTGTCTGCCCACAGCTGCTTTCCCATCTCCTCAGTGTGGGTGAAAGCTGGCAAATTTTCAGTGTTGGAGACTGAACTCTACTACATACTAACTTCCCACAGATTGTTCCTTACTCTGTTTGGAAAGATGTAACTCTGAGTTTTAAACCATTACAAAGCACTTGAGAACTAAGGATGGATGCAGAGAGGCAGCCAGCTCTTATGAGGCTCTTCAAGCATTTTGAGATCCTCCACCCTATTTGAGATTTGAGACCTTTTCACCCATCCTCACTCGGCACATCTCCTCACTCTCTCTCTCTCGCACACACACACGCACAAATGACCATATACGTGATATATATTGAGTTCCCGTTGCATACCAGCCACCGTGCTACATATTTTCCACATTGTCTCTAATCTATACAATAACCCTGCAAGGTAGATGTCACCATTTTACAGCAATGAACGATTAGAGTAAGTAACCTTAATTACAGTGCTAGGAAGTCATGAAGTTCCCAAGTTCATGCTCTCTCTCATAGTGGTTCTGAAGACCTTCACCCCAACCCCACCCCACCACTGGCCTAATGGGACCTCTCCCTCATGCGCTTGTCCCATGGACAGAGTTAAGGTGTCAATGTCTTAGCCAACTGGCACAACAGTGCCCCTTTGAGAGAAAGTCATTTCTGATGAGTGTATAGATAAGAGTAGAATACAAAGAAGAAGGGAAATCTTTTTTTTTTTCTCCCATCTCAACTTCCGACCCAGGCGAGCTTCCTGAGTATGACCTGTGCAGTCACTTGGGGCCCTGAGCTCAAAGGGGCCCTATGCTTGGTTGAATGCCCTGCGGTCACTGTCATGAAATTCATAACTTAAAAAAAAATATGGGGGGAGAATGGGGAAGCGGGGAGGTAGATGGGGAAAAATTTAAATAATTTCTTCAATTAAAATTAATTAATTAATTAATTAGAAATAAATACATAAAAGTAATTGAGGTAATTAAAAAAAAAAGAAAGAAAAAGAAAACGTGGCCCAGCGTTTTCATTTTGCACTGGGCCCCACATATCATATAGCCAATCCGGCTTTTTCCTCTTCACATCTAAAGTTCCACCTCATACCTTCTTTAAACAATTCATACATTGTAGGTTTCCTATCTATTTCCCTAAAAAGAGCTAGAAGTCTATCTAGTGGAGCCATTTTTTTACTAGAACTAAAACCAGAGGCATATGTAGACCTTCTCTACCTCTGATATGCTGCATGTCTTAGAGTTCAACTATTGCTTTTTTCCTGAAAACATATGGTCAAGGCCTATAAGCCAACTTCTATTCAAATACCACTAATATGAGTTTATTAAACAGACAAGATGAAAGTACTACAAAC